AAGCTCGGGGGTTAACCCCGTGCCCGGGTATACTTTTTTATTGGGCTGATACTCGATCGGTGTGACTTATTCCAGCTCTTCGACTATCGATTTGGTAGCTCCAGAATCATCGGGGACTAAGAAGGATCAAGGAACCCCATAATCATTGTCTTCGTTAGTCCCCTGTTCGCCCTGTTGGGTCGAGGCCGGCATCAGTAATTGCTATTTGGCTTCCCATTTTGTTTTCGAATTCGGCTCCTTTGTTGATGAGAGTGTTGATACAGGAATCACTTCATCGATGGCGAGCATTTCCTTTGCGGCGGGCTGCTCCCCGTAGATCGTTTTAATTCCCTCTGGTGTCGGGAACTTCTACACCCGATGAAGGGTCGAGAGCACAACTCTCATGTTGTGGATTCATGGTCTTCCGAACAGAGTGTTATACCTCATGTTCCCCTCAATCACATAAAATTTAGTCTCTTGGATAGTTCCGATCGCATTTACCGGCAATGTTATCTCTCACTTGGTGGTTTCACAAGCCATTTTGAACCCGTTTAGCACTTGGGCTACGGGTATAATTTGGTCCTGTCGGCCGAGTTGTTCTACGACCCTCGATCAAATGATATTGGCCGAGCTTCCTGGATCAATCAACACATTTTTAACTCGAGTTTTATTCATGAGTGCAGATACTACCAGTGCATCGTTATGGGGCCGTGTAATTCCTTCCGCATCCTCGTCATTGAAAAATAAAGTTCCTTTTGGCATGTAATCCCGAGTTTGTTTTTCCCTCGTGATTGATACTTTGATGCGCTTGAATTTTGGACCTTGAGGAACATCGACCCCTCCGATGATCATATGATTCACGTGCCGATGCTCTTCTTGCTTGTTTTGTTTATTGGAATCCCTGTTCTTGAAATGATTCTTGGGTTGGTCTCTAAGAAACTCCCAAAGATGTCCGTTGTTGAATAACTAGGCTACTTCTTCTCTTAATTGTTGACAATCTTCAGTTTTGTGGCCATGGGTGCCATGATATTCGCACATTTGGTTGGGATCTCTTCGGGCTGGATCAGTTTGTGGAGGTCGAGGCCATCTGGTATCCTTGATGCATCCGATAGCTGATACGATGGTGGTTGCGTCAACATTAAAGTTGTATTCTGATAATTGAGGTGCTTCTTTGGGTCCGATAGGCTTGTCGAAGTCGCTCTCGCTCATGAGCCCTCGAGAGCTCTGACCTCGATCACTTATCCTTTCATTCCGTACAGGATTCCGCCCAGGTCCGCTACTCCTGCGATCTCCACTATATGACTGGTATCAATCTCTGTTCGACCTTGGTTCTCGATCAATATCCCTCTTAATATTGTCGACGGGTCTGATAGGATAAACGGACCCAAAAGGAGCCCCGAGTTGGTCGTCTTCAACCATGGTCTTAGATTGATATCGATTATGTATATCGGCCCAAGTGACGGTTGGGTATTCTATTAAATTCTGTTTCAACTGTTGCGAAGCCACCGAGCTTCGAACATTGAGTCCCTGGGCAAAAGCTTGAACTACCCAGTCGCCGACGACTGGTGGCAAGTCCATCTTCTCCATTTGGAATCGAGATACGAATTCTCTGAGCATTTCGTTGTCCTTTTGCCTCACCTTGAAGATGTTCGATTTCCTGGTTTCAACCTTGATGGCTCTGGCATGGGCCTTTACGAAGGAATCTGCAAGCATAGCAAACGAGTCAATAGAATTAGATGGTAGATTGTGGCACCATATCATAGCCCCCTTCGACAGGGTTTCTCCGAACTTCTTTAGTAAGACAGATTCAATTTTGTCATCCTCTAGGTCATTCCCTTTGATAGCACATGTGTAATAGGTGACATGCTTGTTCGGATCGGTTGTTCCGTTGTATTAGGAATATCAGGCATTCAGAACTTCTTGAGGATCGGTTTGGGAGCTGTGCTCGGGGGGGGGGGGGGGAAGGCTTCTGCACGAACTTTTTGGAGTCCAGGCCCTTCAATATTGGTGGTGCCCCCGGGATTCGATCGACCATGGAGTTGTAAGTTTACACCTTCTTATCGTTTGCCTCGATCTTCTTTTCCCCGGACTCAATCCGTTTTGTCATTTCTTCGAGCATCTTCATGATTGCAGGATTAGTCCCTGACTCCTTATAGTTTGATTTCTTTGAAACCGTTCGGTCCTGTGGACAACTTCCTGTGACGGTTTGGGTTCGACCTTGCTCGGTGGGTTATTCCGATTTTGGAGCTGGCTTATCGCTGCCTGTTGGACCTGCAACATTTCGAAGATCACTTGCAGGTTGATCCTGCCGTCCTCGCCGCCTCGTGCACTTTGAGCGGATGATCGGACGCCCCCGCGGACGCTGCCCTCGGAATTGACTGCCAAATTGGCGTTGAGGGCTATATGTGAGTTGACGTTGATTGGATCTACGGCCGGAACTCCATCTAGGTCAACCGGGGGTACGTCGTTTCCTGGCACTATGTTATCATTCTCGCTGTGGTGGCCGAAACCGTTGTCGACGTTAAGGGATGTAGACTGAGAGTTCGACATTCTGATCCTGGAACCACAGATACTTCAAAGAACAAGTGAAAAATAGTGTGTGTTATGAAAGTTTGCACCGAGTAACCACTATTATCCTTAGCCCCACTGTGGGCACCTTACTGTTTACCCTAAAATCGGATAACAATTGAATTTATACGTGGTTTTAAGGATATATGATATAACTTGACACAAACTAAGAATATAT